AACACGTAATGTCACGTCCGAAGATTCACGACCATCGCGGGTTTTTTCACGACCAATCCAGCCTTATGGATTATATACTGTATTTGGTCGTGACAATAACTTAAATATCATTGTAAATTGAACAGTTTAGTTCAATTGAAACACATATTTTTATTATAACTAACAGTATAATTGAAGGATTGTTTAGAAAGATTTAGATTATTCCAGACAATTCACGACCATACCGCTTGTCCCTGACCATCACGTTGACGATTTCTATCATAAAAATGTAAAAAACTAAAATATCAACATATTTCAATGATTTATACACAAAAGAAGCACACCTCTATAAAAACATAAAGATTTTTCAGGTCTCAGGTAAGTGTTTTCGGAGTTATACAAACTTAAAAGATTTTATTGGCTTTTTTTCTACTTTTTTATTTTTTTATATTTTTTTTGAAAGATTAAATATACCAAAAGCTTAGTGAGCTGCTTATTGTATAATGGCCATAAAAGTAAATTCATTTATAGCAAAACATAGTTATAAAAATAATATTAACTATTTTTAATATTCAGTTTTATGCCTGTGATGGTCGTGACAAAATTTTGTGTTTTTCCATCAAAGATGCTCTATTTATAAAAAATCACCAAAGATATTGCGTTACCATGGACATTTTATGAAACTTCAAATGTCAATGAAATAAAAAAAATAAAAAAAGTTTCAAAAAACGGAAAAAAATTTAAAAGTGCTCTTCCTGAAAACGTACGTTTTTAAATTTTCACTCCAATACTACTTAATAGTTTAACACATGAAATTTGTTAACACTAACTGCGTTCCACTCTGTATATATATTTAAGAGGCTTACCCAACTCAAAATACTAAATCAGACGTAAGCTTTTTTTTACCTTATATGTTGATGACTAAACATAAACATTGTAGTAAAAAAATTTCTGCTTTATTTAAAAGTCATCTTTCAAACTACTAAAACTTTTTTCATACGTTTTTATTACACTTTTTTTATACTGTTAATATTGTTGAATGAAATGGCGACCATACATAGTAGGTATTTTAAGCCAAGTATGAATGGAGATGAGTGTAGGATGAGTGGTTATACATGTATATATATATATATATATTTTACCTATATATATTTTGTTTATTTTTTGGTCTTATTACCCCGGCTTCCCCTAATGAAAGTTGTTTTTTTTTTTACTTATAACAGATATAAAATACAATTTAAACTAGAGAACCTGGCGCACAAAATCGTGCGCAATTTAGACAAAGGAGAAGAAGGATTTGTATTGATTTTTTTATTTGGCATTTTCTCTTTTCTTAGTTTTATTGCTAAGGCTGGTGATGGTAAAAGGCCTAATTGAGTTCACAGTTTACCTGCCGTTTTTGCAGTTTATTTTGTGAAAGTCAGTAAAAGATTCTCTTTTGATTAATAGATTATAACCTAGGCCTAAATGATAAACCAAACCCTCTCGTTCCCACCACCACCCCTGGCTGATGTCTGGGACTTATTTGGCGTGAAAACTCTTCTTTGCATACCGTACTCAAATGTTTACTTTAAAATCTTTCAGTCCTAACATCCTTGCCCTAAAACTTACATCCGTAAAGCATTGCTAGCTTTGTACAACGTCATCAAAAAATGCTTCCCAGTCATGCTTCTATTTTCTCTGGCATGTCCTGATAATTTCATGAAGACTCCTTTCATTTTTTTATACATTTCCTCCACATGTTTTTAAAATTTATATTTTTACCATCCTTAATCAAGCCGGCGACTTATCAAGATCCTGTTTAACACAATAATGGTGTTTTCCAGAATCTTTGGGACCCACCCTTCCTAACTTCTGATGTAACAAAATATTCTTTTTGGAGGTGAAAAACATGTTTGTAACTATTGTCGGGGCCACGTAAGTTTGCAGTTGGTGGCAGCCAATCACAAGACAAGGCTAGTGCTTCGTTGCCACATTGCCCATTGACAACACTTATTAAAACACTAAGCAATATTTTCAAATCAGCTGGTATTATTAGATTTGGCAACACCACATGGTTCTCATTGGTTCATTCAAAACCATATGGTAAATAGGCTCCTCCCTCAACTGCAAACTTATGTGGTCCTGACAATAATATCAATAACTTCATATTATTATTCTAGTAGGCCTACATTTATTCTATCATAAATACAGAAGAATGAATATGCCATCTCTTACAATAGATAGCCTACAATTACATATGCTATCTAAAAAATATATCAACTTCACTATCAAACCCTGAGAAAAGCAGTATATGTTTATACGCCGATGATACTAACCTAAAAATCTCAGATAAAACAATGGAACAAATATAAATTTTGTCTTTCCTAGAATTAGGAAATATTGTTCAATTTTTCAAAAATCATAATTTACAGCTAAATGTTGAAAAAACAAATTATATATCATTTAAAACAGCTCAGTCAAAAACCACAGCAGAACCAGTTGTTATGATTGATTCCGAACCGATTGAACAAATTCTTAGCACAAAATTTCTCGGTTTATGTGCCTTGAGAAAAATGGCAGATTGATGTAGTCAATCAACACTCAAACTAATATACCATTCCTATATACATTCCCATATATCATTTGGCATCTGTCTTTATGGCTCCACCAAACAAGTAAATCTTGATAAAATTCAAAAATTACAAAAAAAAGCAATTTGGATCATTAAAAATCTTCATTAAGAAGTATCCTGTAGAGAGCATTTCAAAAATCTTCAAATTATTACAGTTTATGGACAATATATTTTTGATACAATTATGATTTACAAAACTTTGAATTCAAGTAAGCTATTAATAAACCATCCAACTCACCCATACAATACCAGAAATAAATCGGAAATCATACCCACTCATCATAGATTGCAACTCTATACAAAAAAACCATCATATGCAGGAGCAAAGTTTTTTAGAACGTTACCTAAAGAAATAAAAAAAGAAAATAATGTTAATAAATTTAAAATTAAGTTAAAAAATTATATTACATCAAATCCTATTTATTCAATTGAGGAGTATAACCAGTTGTAAATATGTATTATACGCTATAAGCCCTGTTAGCTATAAGGAAATGACACTATTCCGCTGTATGATTACTCATGTACACATTATGAATAAAGATTGATTTGATTTGATACATGAAATATATTGTTCGTAGAATATTGATATTCTTCACTCATTAAATATAACCTTTTATTTAGTTTCAGTAAAACAAAGATCTTAAAAATTATACGTGTAACTGCTGTACTGTCAGTTCACTTTAAAATTCACTGAACCCTAATAAAGTGTTTTGCAGTGAAAAACAAAAAAAAGAAAACAGTGTACATTTTTATCTCCTCAAAATCTTTGTCATGTTTCCATTAATTTCAATTTGAGTATAACCAGCTGTTTCAAATATTAGTGTAAATTTCAAAGTATTCATCTGTTCAAATTTAAACAAACATTTTCTCCATAAGGATAACATGGGAACTTTAAAGGCCACTGGGGCAGAGCCCTGATAGAATTTAGAAGATTTTTTGATAGATGGCAAATCTACGTGCCACACCCTATCCAACGACACCTCAAACTTGGTGATCGGATGCATAGCAGCTTTAAAACAATTATGACAAAAATATGCCTAGCGTATCTATATATATAAAAGGCAAAGCCCTCACTGACTGACTCACTCACTCATCACTAATTTTCCCACTTCCCATTTACCTAGGAGGCTGAAATTTGGTACACTGATTATTTAGGCATTAAATAGATAAACTAAGTTATTTTTATTCTGATCGGACCCTCTGGCTTCACCCCAGTGGCTCTGGAGTTTCCCATGTTAACCTTATGAGTACTCATATTTAAATGGAATTAATGAATCCAGATTTAGGCAAACAGATGTTTGCTGTTTCAATTAAACAAGTTGGTTCTGTTCTATGATATGCAATAGCATTAAAGTTACAAGGATTACCAACAGGGTGCAGCGCTATTATTTTTTTAAATTTATGACAACAGCCAATTTGCAACCAAAAGGTGAGTGAGCGTAGCGAACGAACTTCAACCAGGACGTGATTGAGCCATGCGAACGAGCTCACTTATGAAGTAAAAAGGGGCAAAGCCCGCGGGTACAGCTAGTTAAATATATAGATGTCACCTATTAAAAAGGTTTAAATACCTGCTATCAAGCCATCATCAGGCGGTACAAGGACTTCTTCTTTCTTCATATGAAGAGCGTCATATTTAACACGTAAAAATAAATAAACATTTACACTCGACACAAAACACGTTACGGACACAAAACATTTACTGATCAGTTACGACAACAGACGACGCTAACTGATCAGTAAATGTTTCGTGTCCGTAACGTGTTTTGTGTCGTGTGTAAATGTTTATTTATTTTTACGTGTTAAATATGACACTCTTCATATGGAGAAAGAAGAAGTCCTTGTACCGCCTGATGATGACTCCACATAGGAGTCGAAACTAGTTGCAACTGCAATTAAATTGGATTGCTTGATAGCAGGTATTTAAACCTTTTTAATATTATTTGGCAATCCGGAGGCTACATCCACAATTAAATGTCACCTTGTTTTATGTATGTTTGTTCAATTGTTCATGTTTAAAGTTACCAGTGAAGTTGCCATTCAACAACAAAAATCTTTATTTATGAACATTTTTCAATTAAACTCTTTGAGTTAAAGAAAAATCATACTAGTCTGTTAGTCTCAATTGTAATAGGAGGGTCAAATATTGTATTGTACAGTAATTAATAAAGTTGGGTTTTGTAAGCGAGTGCTGAGTTTCATTCCTGAGCTATGTCACCCAAAGTAACAGTGGGTATTCCAAGAGGAATACGTACCGTTACACAATGTCCTACTACTTCCCAACAACAATATTTTTAGGTAATCTTACATCATAGCTACAGGTCAGACTTGTTAAAATGTGAATTAATATGCACTGTAGCCTACTGTTTCAAATCAAATCCCAAAAGGAAGATAAATGCATACAAAATTTGATATTGTTATTTTATTGCAAAGGTAAATACACAGTCAGAATGCTTAAGCAAATATAAAAGTTAAAAATACGATATTAAAGGTGTACAAAAATCAGTCTTTTAAATAATGTGTAAATTTTACCATCTTTAAGTAGGCTTAAAGGAGATTCCCACTTTCGGCGTACCAGTAAAATTAAAAGTCAGCTCATTAGTATGTTACCTACATCACTTCATACCATCATCAGACATCCAAGCAACCTCTTCATCAAGAGATTGTAATTTCAATTTAACATCTTCAACTGATACTTTCAAACATTTGGATTGCTTTTTTCCTCTTCTTAATCTTTTCACTTTTAATTTTCTGTGTCTTTGTTTAGTTTTATTTACAAAATCATCAAATGACAAGTACCGTTTCAACCTAGTTTTTCCCATCAACGATAATGATCCATTTTTTCGAGTAAACACTGGATTTTCAAAAATTGTTTCCAAAGTACCATTTTTTGGCAGTGTAGGGGTTGCCCTTTTTTTTGCATTTGATGAAAACTTATCACAATGAGTTGATTGTAACTTCCTCTGAGGGCGCAAACTATATCTTCTATTGGTTTTTTTATCATTGCTTTCAATAAATGTTGCCTCATCTTGAAAATTACTTGCACTTAGTTCTAGAAGTTCCATTTCTTCTTCCATTTCTTTTAGCTCTTCTGATAACTCGTCTTCAATTTCTTTAAGTTCGTTCACCTCTGACAACTTATTTTTTCCTGATGCTGCATTTTTACTATTCATTTGTAAACTATCAACTTCCTCTTTTACATCTGGTAGGCCTTCTCCTTTATCTGGAAACACAATACGGAGTTAGATCACCTTAATAAAAGAGAGATCTTATTTACAATACAGTATAGTTCTTATTCTTTGCCTAGAAGCTGGAAGATGTGGTATAGCCAAAACCATTACAAAGATTATAGCCTACTGAAAATTGTGTAATTTCTGAGCAGATGAACAATTTTATGTATGGATTTAATTTTGACAATGCACCTATTCTAAATGTTATGGCATACCTATATGGAATGTTTTGTGCAAATAAAGTATGTCTATGTCTAATCAGTAGTAGAGTAAGGGGCAGCCGAGTTGGCGGAAAGCTCTACTACCCATTTCGCCTGCCAAATGTGTACTATCCCGCGTGAAGACATTGTTTCACAACCACTGTCTCTTGACCCTTTTCGTTCTGTACTGTACTACGATACCTACAGTAATTATATTTACACACACTTATAATTATGCCTTAGAAATATACTATCCTAAAGTTGTCTATTTCATGACGATTATATTAGTAGTTTTTACGCTATAGCATGTAAAAGACGACCGTTGTTTGAAAAGTACCAGAACATGAAACCGCTTAAAAACATGAAAATAAAACAAATAAACGTAGAATTAAATTGTAAAATTGTTATCTAACTTATATTTTTAAGTCTACTAGTTACGTTGCAATAACAGCTCAAGCTCAAATAACTACACTTTTGACTCAAGAATAGCGCTACGCGAAAGGGGACGACCGTGACCACATGAGAAATGTTTTTAGTAAAGACAGGCCATGAGCCTAGGTTCGCAAAAGGGTAGTAGTTGCCTGCCTGTCCGACACCGCCAACTCGGCTGCCCCTTACTCTAACTAGATGTTTCCAGTTAATAATATTAACTACATTTCAATGTCATTTTAATAATTTAAATACAATTTTACATTGTCACCACAAAATAAATCAAAAGTCAATAGGCCTACTTAATACTGTAAAGGTTTTAACAGAGTACACAATACTGCCCGACAGGACAGTTAACATTTACATCTTACTTTTGATATGTTAAAGGTGAAAATTTTTCCATACAGTAGACTTCCTCTTATCCGTACTCCTCGGGACCGAGGCCAGTCCAGATAACGGGTTTTCCGGTTAAACCGACGTCCCCAAAAACTCTTTAAAACGGACTGTTTACTGTGATATTTGACTTAAATTTAGGAGAGCATTGTATTTAGACACGTTGTCACTGGTCTCAAATCTTTCCCACGAAAACAGTTGTTTCAGTACTGCCCACTTCCTGCCGATCTAGTCCGGTTAAACCAATGTGCTGATAAAAATTGTCCGGTTAAACAGATGTCATTTCCACCGGGTGTAGTCCGGTTAATCCGATGTCCGGTTAAAAGGTATCTGGATAAGAGAGAGTCTACTGTACGACGTTTTTTCGCAAACACTATAATAACGTCTTTAACCAGAAGACCTTGGTTTCGTTGTTCTTTCACCATTATTTTTAGTTAATCACAAGCGCAGTACGTACAATGCCGTTTCAAAATGGCAGCACTTTAAAATATTTTATGCCAAATTTCACAAAAACCGTTTACTTAACAAAAAAATTGCAAGAGACAAAAAATTTAGTAAATTTTATGTAGTTTTCAATGATACCTTATTTGTTAAGAACGGATATATAATAACAAAGAAATGCCTTCTTTTCCAAATGCATGACCACTTTTCTCCATTTAAACAATGCTAATACTCCTATTACGATGTTTAGCATTGTTTAAATGGAGAAAAGTGGTCATGCATTTGGAAAAGAAGGCATTTCTTTGTTACTATTTATCCGTTCTTAACAAATAAGGTATCATTAAAAACTACATAAAATTTACTAAATTTTTGGTTACTTGCAACTTTTTCGTTAAGTTAATGGTTTTTGTGAAATTTTGCATCAAATATTTTAAATTGCTGCCATTTTGAAACAGTTAATGATTTTTTAGTATAATTTTAAACCAAGATAAGTCTTAATACGATAAACAGTTTTGCAAAATCTCAACGCTGTATTCCAAACTGTTTAGGAGTTATTAATATTTTTGTAAAAAACACATAAATACCGACAGTTGGTAAACTAGGCACCACAGACCCATGTTCCTATGGCGAAATGTGTTTGTCTTGACCTAAGCAATAACGCTATATACATGTGTCCAGAGAGTTACGGGACACCCTGTATATGCATATGATAGCTAACATTGGCCACACAATCTGGTAATGCATTTAGCAAAAATGATTTAAAGGCAAAATTATTTGGCAATATGCTTCTGTTTCTAGATTACTAATTTGGTGTTTTATGGTTAGGTAAGATTTCAGAGGGGAGGGCAAATTTGTCCAAAACTTCCGGTTTTCTACTAGATAAAATATGGTCACCATTTTTATTTTTAGAAGTTTCTGTGGTCTATAACGCAATGCATAATACAAACTAATTTAGGTGTTAAGTTATCTGAGTGTGTAGGTAAAGTAGGACATAAAAGAAGTATTGTTTTTGTCAAAATTAGTGATTTGTTGGTTTTCAAAGTGATGTCTAGTGTGTGTGTGGATGTGTAGGCCTACAGACCTCTAGGCAAATTTTAATTTTCCAAAATAAATCATTTGCACAAAGATAGGCTAAGTTACTTATACTCAATAGGCCTAACTACCTCGTAAGCTAGTAAGGTTTTAAGCTTCTGATTCTTCAGATGACGGTTACACAGTTGTCCCGGAAATAAGTTAGGCCAAGTTAATGTTTTGCAATTGATAAAACATTTCCTGTCCACATTTCTGACAATTCGCCACATTTCTAGGCCTACCTTTGTCATTTTCATTTATAATTCGCACAATATCGAGACTCAACATGCATGAATTACACGACAGTCACTCCTCTGACGTCGTTCTTGGTGAGGACAATGCACAAGGTGAACGTAGTTCACATCACTGAGCCACTGTTCCATCATCATTCCTCCCTATCTGGGAGGTACTTTAAGGGGATATGGCAGGGAAATAATGAATTTTTTTAAGAAAGTGATTTTTAGCGAATTTCCCATATAGGGAATAAGCTATTACAGTAGAACTCATGGTAAGACCTGGACGCGGGACCGATTTTTTTTTCATTTTGAGGTCCCTAGAGGCCAAAAATACCATCCGTTCAAATTCATATATATATATATTTATATATATATATATGTGTCCGTTAGCGCAATAACTCGAGCAAAAATGATCAGATTTTGATGAAATTTGGTACAAACGTGTAAACCTACGTTTATTCTAACGAGTTCGCGATCTAGCATAATCGGACCATGGGAACAGGGGTTTATGGGGGGTTTTATGGGGTAAAAATGTGTTTTTCCCATTTTTTAACCTAAAAACAAAAAATTTTTCAATTTCTTTCAAAACCGTTTTGTAGAGCTTAAAAAAAGAAATAATTTAGTATATTGAAGCGCTTGTATGCCTAACGGTCACGGAGAAAATTCAAAAATAGTTTAATTTAAAATTCTCATGTTTTCTGATGGAGAAAATAAAAATTGTTGTAGTTTACTTGTTTATGGATATATATTGATAAAATTTGGCAAATTTATTTATTTCATCCCATACTATTCACGTATGGTCAAAAAACATTTTTTACCTTCCCCGTAGCAGCAAACCTAAGCACTCGTTAAATCTAATGTTATTTAAATAGGGAATAAATATGTCTTATTTATGGAAATATTTGAGTAAAAAAGTAATCAGACAAGTTGAAATTCGCTTAGTCTGCAGGTATGCTGCGGCGGGGGTATTTAAATTTGTCTATTATTTATTGAGCGAAGCTCTTATACGCCGTCTCTTATGCGTTTCGTAATACGCAAACTCCTCCTAGACGGCTTAATCAATCGTTTTCAAATTTTGCATTTTGATAAAGACCATAGGCCTATCGGTGAGTGCCAACATCTATATGGCGTTAAAAAAGTCTCTCAAGAATCCGCCCCAATGGGTCTCTATGTTTCAATGTAATCCTTATGGAAGCAGTATTTGACACATAAACAAAGTCATATGATCAGCTGTTGACTTTTGAATGCAGTAGATAAAGAAATAGCTGTTAGCATTATTCCTCAGATATTAAAACAGAAACGGTATGGATCATAAATATAATCAAATGACGACATTAGCTTGAGATAGTCCTGAGCTTGAGGTCCGTGACGTAGGAAGTGGTGAGGGAAGTAGTAAAGGTGAGCAGTCTGGAGTGTGGAAACTGTTTATGACGATTAGATTTAGGTATCTGCATTCCTAAAATTCTATGGGAAGGGAGAAAAACGGTTCCGCGACGTAGGAAGTGGTGAAGGAAGTAGTAAAGGCTAGCAGTGCAGAGTGGGGGAACCGTTTGGGCAGTTAGATAAATGTATCTAATACTTAAATGCTATGAGAAGGGAACTGTACGGAGTGTAGGAACTGTTTATGACGATTAGATTAAGGTATCTACAATCTTAAAATTCTATGGAAACAGATAGAAACAGGTCCGCGACGTAAGAAGAGGTGAAGGAAGTAGTAAGGTGAGCAGTGTGGAGTGTGGGAACTGGAAACCGTTTGTAGCAGTTAGATTAATGTACCTGCAATGCTGAAATGCTATGAGAAGGGATGGAAACATGTCCACGACATAGAAAATTGTGAAAGAAGTAGTAAAGGCTAGCAGTGCGGAGTGTGGTCGATGTTTGTGGCAATTAGATTAACATATCTAAAATACTAAAATGCTATGGAATGTGATGAAAACAGGTACAGGATGGCTTAGGAAATAGTAAAGTATGAGCATAGTGTGAGAACCGTCTGAGGCAGTTAGATTAATGTATCTTCAATCCTAAAATGCTATGAGAAGGGAAGGAAACAGGCCCCTCGACGTAAGAAGTGGCGAAGGAAGTAGTAAAGGCTAGCAGTGCAGAGTGGGGGAACCGTTTGGGCAGTTAGATAAATGTATCTAATACTTAAATGCTATGAGAAGGGAACTGTACGGAGTGTAGGAACTGTTTATGACGATTAGATTAAGGTATCTACAATCTTAA